AAAGAAATAACGCTGTGGCCTTTGCTGACTGAGAGGAAAGACACAATTCCCCTTCTCTTTCCAAGAGTGTCAGATATACAAACCACTGGTAAGTGAACTCAGGCTGCCACTAATCGTACAGTATCTTCCTGTCAAAAACACTATTAACTCAGGAGTTACTATCTTAAAAATGTGGTTTATTTTCTACCTTCTGGCAGCCATTGGTTTCAATTTATTACACCAAAAATAACCTGGAGAGATTTAAAATCTTTCCCCTCTTACAAACGTACTTTATCATTGGATAAGCAGGCTCTACGCAAAGAAAGTTCTGAAGAAGTTAATTTTCATAGAAACAAAGGATGCCTGAAAGGAAAGAAATCAATCAAAGAAACGATGGATCATTTTAAAACTCTCAACAGGAATGCGAAGTTCTCATCATGGTCATCTTACACATGCAAAACTAGCAGTATAGGGCTCTTTAACACTTCCTACAACCATGTACTGATCAATCACAAAAAACAATTTAAATTATTAGAATTGCCAACTTCTTATATTTTATGTTTATTGTGCTATATATACACTTTGGACTGCTTGAAAAAACAACTGTTAACTGATTGCAAAAAATGAATCTGTCAGATGGTATTGGAAAAGATAAAGTGGCCAAAACAGGATGAGGAAGAAGACAGTGATGTCTCTTTGGAGGACACTTGTAGGATCACAGGATTCCTTCGCACATTTATTGAGAATGGTAAATTAATATTTGCATTATAGTACTCACAAAAATGTCCTGAATCAACAATTTCTGTCAAATTCTTTGTTGATAGCAACAGTGCAGTCTGAAGATGGCTCTGTGAACTATGTTCAAAGGCTAAATACACTTTGGATCAACCATCATTGAGCTTCATTGCTGTCTCATTTGTGCTGTTCTGCATTAGGAAACTTTAATCTGTGGACAACATGTCCAATAGCCTTCATTTTAAAACAGTGTTCTGTTTTTGGTAGCATCTCCGAACCTCCTTGGGAAACTCGTACAGTTCTGGGCAGGATGGAGTGTGCTTCCCAGACACTCCCCCAGGTCTTCCACCTGCTGAAAATTCCAGGACATTACAAAGAGTACTGTAACTTTGAAAGAGACATTCTTGCTGCTATTTGTAGCAGTGACACTGGGTTTAGAATGGTCTAATGAGACAGTATAGTACCGCCACTGTATAGCCTAATAATTCGTAAGATTTAACATTTGAAATAATGCTTGTGCTGTTGATAACAATTCCA